ATAGTATATTGAATCATTCTGTTATAACATAGTTGAGAATCATCTTTATACAAAGTTTGATAAAAAAAAAAATCTTGTAAACTAAAAATGTATTGGTGATTTTAAAAAATCAATTGTTTTTGCCTATGCATGTTCATTCATGTCTTTTTATTTGAGTCCCGATGTCCTCTACGAAGGACGTAGCATAACTTATGAAGTAAATATCTTTTTTTTTTTTCTTTTTTTTTAATGCTCTAAACAATGTAATGACATGAAAAAAAACATCTTCCTAAAATGTTTTGCCGGGTCTCAAGAGGTTAAAAGGACTGAAAAGGTTTACGCAGCAACGTGATTGACAGCTGGAATACACGCCCACAGCCGAAAGCGCTGCTCTCATTGGACATGTGCCGTGCGATCTGCACGATCCACTGTTTACGCTCCAGGCGCGGTTAATTCCGCGCAGAAAGCGTCCTTTAATTGTAACAAAACATGCCAGAGGACATTCAAACCTAAATATCGTCGGCAAGTGTAAATAACGTGAAATGTAGGCTACTTTATGTGTTTTCCTGTAAGGTGCTATTGTTCCAGCTGTACGAGAGGCAGATGCAGTCATTTACACGATGCAAGACATTATATTGTTTTTAGACGCTGCCAGCGTTACTGAAATGAGGTAAGTACAACTTTTTTTTCCACACTGCATGAACTGAATGTCTCTTATTTTTAGACTGTCATTTCATAATTAAATATGGGTTTGAAATCATTTTCCTTCAGTATTGCACATTTACTTTTTCTTTTGTGTTTTCAAAACAATATTCTGTTTAATTGTTTTTATTTTGATAAATCTATTAATTCACTACAGCATTTATTTAATAAATGCATATTATCTCCCACCATTGTCTCTGCACTGAGATTTGTGTTTGATATTTGTGCTCACAGTCAAAAGGGAGCCTTATCAGTATGAATCTCTTGGATAAATAGGTAAGTCTAAGCCTATAACTGGTGAGGTATTCATAATGTTATCATCCACAGCAAGCTTGAACAATTTCTTTCTGTTTTCAGGCTGTTTGTAATGGGCCACAGGGGACCGCTGCGGTTGTCTGACATTTGCAAGCTGTATAATGAGTCTGTCCTCACCCTATGCTCTGTGTTTGAGCACGAGTGGGAAAAACAACAGAATTACAACGAGGTAACTGTAAAGATACACAGGAGCCAGGGACAACCTTCTCTTTTGTACTTGTTTTCATTGTGAAAGGTGTGCTTTGAATGAGATTTAATGTTAATATTTGATATATACAGAGGTCGGACCTAGAAGAGGATTCTGGACGAGAGTCACTGCTGGTCTCCAGTAAAACCAATACTGGTTACACTCTCCTTTATGCAATATGGGTGACATTCCGTCCAGCCTTAGTCAAAGTTGTGCTTCTGAGACTGTCATCTGATCTTTTTTGCATTTTAGGTCCTCTGACTCTCAGGTATGACTATGATTCTTATTTCAAACCATGCAAGTTTGGAATTAGGATTTTTAAGTTTCTCAAACAAGCCTCTTATGCTTACCAAGGCTACATTGATCAAAAATACAGTAAAACAGTATTATTGTGAAGTATTATTAGAAATTAAAAGAACTGTTTACTATTAGAATATCATGTTTCACAAAAAATAATAAGCAGCAAAAACCTTTTTCAGCATTAATCAAAATAAGAACCATTATTAATAATTAAGCACCAGTAATAATTGATCAAATTAAGCAGCCAGTCAGCATATTAGAATGATTTCGGAATGATCATGTGACACTGAAGACTGGCGTAATGGCTGCTAAAATTCTCTGATCTGTTTTTGTATGTTTTTTAACCACAGGTGGGTTATCCTGTTCTGTGAGAGGCAGGCTGTGTTCAACTGGGCAGGATACACACATTCTCTGCAGGTGTTTGGAGCAGTTTGCTGCTGTGCGGTTTCTCAGCATCAATTTGAGAAACATAGTCGTATAATAACTGCCAATGCACAAACGGTTCTGGCTGGTGCCCTCTACAGGAATGTAAAGGTCTCATAATCTATCTAATCTCAATCAGTATGCTTTCAGTCCTAACAAAAAAGCAGTCTGCAACATTTTTTTTTCTCACAAACTTTTTGTCATGTCACACTTAAAGTGTTAGCAGTACATATCTATTTATATACTAAAAGTTTTCTCTTCTCTATTCCATGGTTCATGTTCCCTTCATTTCCCCCCTCCTACACATTTAAGGCATTCTCTCTTTCCTGTAGTTCTCGGCGGCAATCGAACACCACTCAGGAGACTGATGTATTAGGGGAGGTTGAATGTGTGACAGAGCAAGGTGGTCACACTGGCCTGTCTATGGTCTGCTCCCCTGAGAGTCGCTCACTTATCTGTGCTTACTGTGGGAAGAATTGGGCCCAGGCATTCTGGTGGGGGTGGCATTGCTACTAGTCCTCATCCCTGTCAACTCAGCAGTGGAGTGCAAAGCCAAACAGCTTCGGGTTAGTAAGGCCAAGCTGCTCAGGAATTGCTTGGGAGTATGCATGCGTAAAATAAAATGAAGCATGTTCATTGCATCTCAGTGCATTTCTGTCTATGTTTTGATACTCATATGTTTCAGAATCTTTGTTTGTTGTTTCAGAGAACTCAGCTGATCATCAGGGAAGGGAGCGAACAGCTCATCAAAGAAATGTTGCATAAATACCAGGTCTTTTGTATTCCTAATCCTCACACATAATCCTGTCATTTATAGTCCTAACTCTTGAATTTGTTTCAGTCCCAATCGGGTTATTCTAGGATTTCATTCTTAGGGTGGCTCAGTCATGTATCTGAGCATGAGCTGATTTAGATTTGAGGAATATTTCCTGCCTTAAGGACAAAAAGTCAAGCTTAGTTCTTGCTTGAATGACTAATTTTTAAAGTCACCATTAAATCAAAATTGACAGTCCTTTTTTTCATTAAATATTGCAGTGTTTATTATAAATGATTTATTTTTGCACATCATTGTTGTTTTTTTAGTTCATGTGCCCTCATAATCTTCAATCAAAAAAATTAACTTCACCTTACCCTCGTAACGACATGTACATCGTTGTGAGGGCAGAACAACTATTCCTGCCCTTTAGCTACCTGTCACTCACATGAGATTGCAGCAATTAGCAAATGACAATGATCCAGTCAATTCCTGATGGACAAAATCAAGTCCCGCTCCACATTTTTTCTCATTTGAGACCTTTCACTAAGACATCAGAGTAGGGAAAAAAGATTGCAACTTTGGTTTCATGGCGATTTTAGTAGCTACAGATCTTTTTTTCCTGTATTGTGACATGCATCCAAGTGAAACAGATTGTCAAAAAAGAAAAAATGTTGGGGGTGTGGACTTGGATCAGTTGATCAGTTGTTGACTGGATGGAGGCAGATGTGTTTAGAAAACCATCAGGTTTTTTTTCTAGTGCTACTAGTTATCTTGCTGTGTAATCTGAAGGCTTGTTGGTTTGTGTTTAGATATTTCACATCCTTGCTAAAAATCTGGTTTTTACTTACTACTGCTAAACTACTTAAGCTCTGACTTTGAGTTCAAATTACCTTGCCTCTCTTCTCCAGATGCACAGAGGCTTACTAAGTAAACAAATCCACAGAGCTCTGAGATTAAAACCCAAACCAAAGTCTATCATAGATTACAACCTGAGGTCAGAACATTGAGTTTTCCATCATGCTACTCTTTCATCAGTAATGACCTCTGACACCAGTGACCCAGTGTTTCGTAAAGACCAGATGAACTGCAAATATCCTTTACCCGTATTTCGCGTACTATTTGTCTTTCTGTGCAGGTTTGGTTTCTCTAGTCTTGGTGTGTTTGTCCTGGTGGATGATGGGAATGTTCTCACACCGCCTCAGATCTTTACATCCCTATGTTTCTTCAGATTGCTCCGCCCACCTCTGTTGGAGCTCTCTGATTTCTTGTGTGCTCTCAAGCAGGTAGCATGCATGTGACATAACATCAAAACCTACTTTATTTAAAGATCCTAATAAAATTCTAAGAAACTTGTAATACATTTGTTCAAATCAATTAATTAGTCTCAACATAATTTATGCAGGCACAGCAGTCTCTTTGCCATCTGGAGATGCACTTTCTTACAAAGGATTTGTTAGTTACTACAAAAGGTAAAGTCACAATATATTAAGATTACGATTAAGATTAAGATCCATATAATGTATTTATTCATTCTTTTATAATCTATTGTAATTCTTCTATTGAACAGCCTCATTTAAACATTTGGGGTCTGTCAGTTTTTTCATGTTTAAAAGAAGTCTCGTATGCTCAACAAGGCAGCATTTATTTGCTTAAATATGCAGTAAAGCAGTAATATTATGAAATATTACAATTTAAAATAATTGTTTTCCATTTTAATATATTTTAAAATGAAATGTATTCCTATGATGGCAACACTGAATTTTCAGCAGCCATTACTCCAGTCTTCAGTGTCACATGATCCTTCAGAAATAATTTAAATATTTTGATTTGACATTTCTAATTACAATCAATGTTGAAAACAGTGCTGCTTAATATTTTTGTGAATAGAAAGTTCAAAAGAAAGATCATTTATTTAAAATATAAATCTTTGTTAACATTGAAAATGTCTTTGTCACTTCAGGTCAATTTAATGTGTCCCTGCTGAATAAAAGTATTAATTTCTTAATATTACTTAATTAATTAAAAAAAAAAACTTACTGGCCCCAAATATTCAGTTTAGAGGATAGAAAATACTATTACAATAGTATTAAAACAATGTATTAGTATTAGTATTAGCATGATAGAAATACAAATGTTTGTGTGCATATTATGTTATCCATTTGATTAGGCAGAGTCCAGATCATTGGTAAAGCACAGTGCGTGACCTGACCCATCGGTCTTCGTTGTCCAGTACAGATCCAGCATTAATATATTACAATTGCTTTAATCCAAGACAAATATCAGTGCATTTAAGAGCATTAGCAGTGCTTCTGATTTTAATATCTTTCTGATCCCCCTGAGAGAATGTATCATGCTTTTCTTTTACTGTGTTCTCTGTACCAGAGTGGCCTTGTGTGGTTTAGTCATGATGGTTAGTGCAGGTTAAGAAAGGATGATATGGACAGAATCACAGGCAGGGATTTCTGGTCACACAATGGTGAGACTAATAAATTCTCATGGGAAAGAAAACCGCGAGCCTGACTGAACAGGGCTGCCGACATTCTCTTTTTACCTCACATTAATGAGCTTGTTGTGGCATCATCATCAACAAGCTACACCTTGTTTCTCCACCCTATCTGTGATTTTGTTGTGCTGATGCATGCACTGCAGACTTACCTTAAGTACACTGTATACTTAGAGTCTAAATATTCTTGATGTATTGATTTTTACAGGTGTAAAGATAAGCACAATAATTCTGATGAGAAAAGAGTTCACTATCTATTCCAAAAAGTATGTACCAAATTATTTTATTTAAAAAATATATTATTTAATATATTTTTAAATATTTTAAATAATGTATTTATTGTATTAATTATTACCTAAATAATTATATATATAAACTGGTAGTTTCATATTTGAGAGTTTGTGTTTTTGTTAGCTGATCAACAACCCTGGCCCCTGAAAGAATTCTGGCTGCTGAATTTTGTAAATGTTGAAGTTTGTTAATACAAGATTTTGAGACTTCAATAAGAAAGGCGTTACAATAGTCTAGACGAGAAAAGACAAACAAATTAATTAACCTTTGAGCAACAGAGAAAGAAAGCACAGGTCGTAGCCGTGCAATATTTCTGAGATGAAAGTACGAGGTCTTAACAGTGTTCAGCACGAAAGGCTCAAATGACAAGCTGGGATCAAAAATAACGCACAGATTTTTTAATTTACTTTGTAACTCCCAGCACGAAAAGCTCAAATGACAAGCTGGGATCAAAAATAACGCCCAGATTTTTTAATTTACTTTGTAACTCCAGAGCAACACCATCAACAGATAAAGCTAAAGATCCAGCATGGGGAGAGCCGAGTAACATAACTTCCGTTTTGGAACTATTCAAACACAATAAATTTTCAGACATCCACAACTTAATCTCAGAGAGACAGTGTGAGAGATGGGAAATATTCACATCTTGGCCCAGATTAGAGTGGATGTAAATCTGCTTTTTGTCAGCGTAAAAATGGTAGTTCAGTTCGAGAGATCTTAACAATTGTCCAAGAGGAAACATAAATGCTGAAAAGCCAGGGACCAAGTAATGAGCCCTGAGGGACACCAGTACTAACAGGACTGACCTCTGATCTGTGACCATCCATAAAAAAAAATGACTACGATCAGTTAAATAGGATCTGAACCAATCCAGAGCAATCTCTGTCACCCCAAAGACCAATTCAAGTTGACTAAGTAATACCGTTTGGTCGACGGTATCAAAAGCTACACTTAGGTCCAAAAGGATAAGGATTGACACAGATCCAGCATCAGATGCTAATAACAAGTCATTAGTAACTTTGACCAAGGCTGTCTCAGTACTGTACAGTTTCCGAAACCCAGACTGGTATGGCTCAAAAAGGTTGTTAACAGTCAAATGATTGTGTAATTGAGAAGCAACAACACCCTCTAAAATTTTTGCCAAAAATGGAAGATTTGGTATTGGATGAAAATTGTTTAAATTGTTTACATCTGTATTTTGCTTTTTTAGAACAGGGGTGATAGCAGCAGTTTTAAGTGCTGCTGGCACAACACCAGTTGACAAAGAATCATTTATGATTGAAAGAACAGTAGAACACAAAACGCCAAATATATATGTAGGTGCTCTGTAGGTACAGTACCGTACACTAGGGGGCGCCATTGATTATAATATAGCTTGACATTATAATATAGCTTTTGCAACTGTTTTTGACTGAGATTTCTTGTATTTTCAAGCCAATAAAAATAATTGTACATATTTTTGTATTTAAAAATGTTATAAAATATACACTGTAAACATCTACTAAACATGCCAAATAAACATGTCACATTTATTGTAACATGTACAGCATGTTATTTATGACCAAAAGCAACATTTCTGTGTGCAGTTGGGTTGCATTGAGGTTAGATGCCATTGCTGGGATTGTGCTGTTCCTGATCAGTCTGATTCTGCTGGAGACTAAACCAGACTCGGGGCTTGTGGCTCTGGCATTGATCTGTGCCTTCAATGTAAGTTCAACTGTTCTGATACCTAACCTGAGTTTTGTTTAATTCATTCATAATGATTATGAAAACATTTTGTTACAGATTAAAGAAGCACTTCACCGTCACCCTCAGGCTGCCTCTGATATCAACATGGACATGCTGAGCATGCAAAACCTTTGTGGATTTGCCAAAGTGGAGAAGGAGGTACAGGGTAACATCTAAATTCTCCTTCCTTTGTGCTTCCTACCCCCACCCCACCCCACCCAAACATCT